TACTACTATTTTCATTAATTACTATTTCTGTTCAATTTTATTATTTTATTTTTTAATTTAAAGTGTTTAAATTTAATAATTTATTTATTTATTTATTTTATTTTCAAAAAAATAATTATAACATATATTATATTAATATAATAAGTATACTTATATAACTTATGATTAATTAAAAATAAAAAAAATTTATTAATTAATTATTATATTTTTGTTTTATTAAAAATCTGAGTAAATTAAAATTGAATGCATGGAGTACCATAATTGGAATAAGATTTAAAAGAAAATATGTACTCATTTACTTTTGCTAAAAAAAAAAAAGATTTAAAAGGAATACAAACTACTTCGACAAGATTATTGTAATTTTTTTTTTCATTCTTATTTCTTAGGAAAAGTCAAATTGCTTAATTTATGAAAATAAAAAATATATATATTTTAGCTTCTCGCTTAATCCTTTTCATTTTCTTATTAAATATATCCTTATTAAAATGTAAACCCTTTGATCCAAAATTAATTCTTTTTTGCAACATAGGCTCTGTTTAATTGAGTTTTAAGTTTTTTTATATAGTGACCAATACTATATTTAAATTAAATATGATATTTTATTTGTTTAAGTTTAGTTGATTTAATTTTTAATTTGAAACATTTAAATTTATGTTGTGTTTAGAATGGTTATGATTTTTAATTTTATAAATTTTGGGATTTTAAACAAAAAATGTATTTACTTTCATGTGTTTTTGTAATATATTATTATGATTTATTAAGGAAATAAGAATCAAAATAATTTAAATATTATTAAATAAGTAAATATTTTTAATTATCAGACTTAAAAATTTTAATTTTTAATAGTTTATGCTTTGTTTAGTATATATAGTTATAGTTTTGGGATTTTGGTTTTCATTTTTATAAGTTGTGCAACTCTAAACATAAAATTTGTTTAATTTCACATATTTTTACAATATATTATTACGATTATTAGAGAAATAAGAACAAAATTAATTTTAATACTATTTTCTAGTATTTTTTTACATGAATTTATAAATTCTATTTTCTAGTATTTGTTTTTAATAATTGCAAGATTGATAAAAACTAAAATTGAAAACTTAAAATCATAACCATACTAAATCAAGTATTAGTTGTTTACTTTTTTTTTTTTATATAGAATGTCATTTAATGCGTTTTTTTTTTCACTCTT